TAATTAAAATAATATTAAAAATACGAAACGTATTATGACGTTTATTCTTCGCATTGGCACGCCTAAACTTGTGATTCTTGATTCTCGACCTCGACGCTTCGCAACGCATTATGCCTTTTAGAACATTGCTATTTATTTGATAATAATAATTTAATTATAGCCAAGAACGTGAGGTAAATGAACAACTTGCATAAAATCTTTGACTATTGAAGACTATATGGATTTATTTATTTGTTTATATTTGTGAACGACTTGAATTAGTTTTAGTTCACGAGATTCATGCTATTGCAATTGAACATATTAGAAGGTTGAGAATTAAGTCAAATATTAAAAAGTATGTTGTGTTTGGAAATAGTCTAGTCTACTCAATACTTATTTTCTTCTCATTATATTTGAGGTTGAACGGAAGTCATTTTTGATGGGATCATAATTCTTCTATTGCGATTCATTACATCAAACTTGGAGGAGGATCATGGTCCATTCAGGCTACTCTCAGATAGATCGGCACTTAATCTCATTCGATTGTTACATTGTTTTTTCGTATTTGTTGTGAGGGAAATCGGGTAGCCAAACTCACTAGTTGATGAGATACAGGAGCAATGCCACGGTACTTTTGACTTGTCTCGATAATTTTGCACCCTAGTATAGATTGTCAGAAGTGGGCTTCCCACTTTAGAGGTCTTTAGACTTTTTTGTTTCATCTTTCATATTTGTACGGGATATTTGTATAGAAGATAGGAACTCTTTATTTATTCCTTTCAATTTTCATAGCTTTGAATGTTCATTAAAGTGTATTTGATGGATATTATTGAAGAAATAATGTATTTTAAATATTGATATGATGAAAAATATGTGATTAAAAAGTAAGGAAAAATTATTGATGTGATAAAAAATATTATTTAATTGAAGAATGTGTGATTGAAAATGAGTTTTGAAAAAAAATGTATTTTGAAATAATGTGTGTCAAACATGGGCTAAGATATGAATGGTGATTTACTAAAAAAAGGGTACTCATTTACGTGTTAGAGAAGAATTTATAAACAATTTAGTTTATAAATAAATAAAATTGAATGTGGATAAGTAAATAATCCTTGTAAATCTATTGAAACGTGTGATTGAAAATGAGTTTGATAATTTATAAATAATTTATAATTTTTTGCTAAATGAAGACTTAATCTTCTAATTAATTGAAATGTAGATGAACATAATTTGCTATTAGCAGGAGATCAGCTGTCAACAAACTATGTAGAGTATATTGATAGTATTTTAAATTGACTAACAATAAGATATGTTTAATGATGCTTTAAAATTACTTCAAATCTACTTTTGAGTCTTTTTTTTTAGGGAAAAAAAAAAAAACCGCCAAGCATATAGCTACTAGTGGGGTCGTTACTCTTAGGCCCCGTTCGAGAGGGCTTAAAATCCAATTAAAATTGAAAATATGACCGTTATTGGGTCCCACCCGTCTAATAAAAGTCAACAATAACGGCTATATTTTCAATTTTAATCTGATTTTAATCCTTCCCAAACAAGCTCTTAGTTGATTTGGTCGACCACACCGCCCACTGGATCACAAACTTCTAAGGGTAAATTATGCTCATTGCCCTATTAAACTAACTAAATTGAATAGGTGGAAATTACATCACAACCTATTTTTCAAGGTTATTATTCTAAAGACAGTGAGGAAGTTTCATTATTCATAAATCAGATATTTCATATTTAAATATTAAATATACAATTTTCATCTGAAACCCTAATTAATTTCTCCAAACCCTAAAAATCACTTCTCCTCCTCTCCCTCTTCCTCTTTCTCTCTTTTTAGTCTCTCTACCTTCCCCACCCTTAACTATTCTTGTGCACACCCACCCCTCGTTCGGCACCGAAACCACCCCTCGTTCGACTGCAGTAAGGTGACAGTCGTAGCGGTGCATCACTATGGGAGTACTGCTGTGCGCAACGAGACAGCGTTGCTGCTGCCGAAGCTACTCTTGGATTCTTGGTTGCGCGTAGCAATGCCTTGTTGTGGACAGCGCAGCTACGCCAACGAGCTAGCATTGCTACTGCCTGAATATGTAGCGTCGCCTCGATTTTTTTGGGATTTTTTCTGATTCGAGCTACCATGGGTGGTTTTTTGGTTGGTGATTTTTTTATTAGATTTATTGTGGGTGACTTGTTGGTTGTTGCTGTGGTGGTGGTGATGTGCAATGGTGATGGTGGTGTAAGTTTTTTTTTTTCACCAAATTTTTTTTTAGGTGACCTATGATTGGCGGTGGCAACGGCGGTGGTTGTGACGAGTGGTTTGTGTGTAGATGGTATGAGTAATGTGATCTGGTGGTTGTTTTGCGTTGCCATGGTGTGTGGTGGTGGTATTGTGGTTGCTGTAGTGGTGGTTTTGCGAGCTCTGGCGGTAGTAACATTGATGGTGATAATGGTTGTTGTAGCGATGGTGGTGGTCGTGGGTGGGATGAGACGAGATGGGGTGGGGTGTTTATTACCAATTATTTGGTTAATTGTGACCAATAATTAGTTAATTTGTAACAAATAATAATATATAACCTAAAAATTTTAATTGTGACACAATTTATTAAATTGTGATTGAGAAATTAATTGTGATTTGATCATATGTAATGACTAAATGAGTTGTGAGCAATAAAATTTTTGATTTGTGATCGAGAAAAAATATGGGACTTATAAAATTTTTGATTTGTAACTGAAAATTAATTTGTTACTAATTAATTAGATATTTTGTGACCCAAAAAATAAGTTACGACTTATAAAATTTGTGATTAATGAATAATTTGTGACCTATTAATTTAATAAATTTGTGATCGATGAATAAATTGTGATCTATAAAAAATTTTATTTGTGATCGTGAAATAATTTGTGACCTATAAAATTTTTTATTGTGATCGAGAAATAATTTGTGACCAATTAACTTATAATTTATTATCAAATTGTATAGAATTGTGACCTTAATATATTTAATTAATAACTATATGTTTAATAAATCAGTTTATAAATAAAATATTAAAAAAAAATCTGATTTTTAAAATTTTAAACTTTGTTTCTTAGTGTTGAAATGTGTTATACTTAATCTCTTATATATGATTTTTCCAAATACATAACTACCAACATTTATATATACACTTTCAAACTTGACAAAAGTTGTGGAATTCTTTCAAAAATCAAGTGATATTAATTAAATAAATATTAGATAGGTTAATGTTACAATAACATAAAATTTTGTTCACAGTTACATACTAGTCATAAATCACAGAACGCCATGGTAATAAAGATATAAAATTTGGTCACGATTGTTAATTTAGTCACACATATTTTTATAGGTCGCAACTTATTAATATCAAATTAATTTATATTTATCAATCAGAAATTATCAAATTAATTGATGATAACTTATTTATCAATTATAAATTATTACATTAATTTGTCACAACTTATTTCTCTGCTACAAATTATCAAGTTTACAGATGACAAATTATCCCTCACCACCACCTCATATTCACACCATCATAGGCACAAACACCGCCCCACCAACATCATCACACCACAACCTACCACCGCAAACACAACAACAACGCATCACACACTGATTTACTAGGATCTGCTGACTCCACATGTATATCCGCAAATGGGTTGGAGGCTGGGGGGTGGAGGTGCATTGCATTTGAATTCCTTACCATAGGAATCATTTAACTTTGGTAATGTGACAGAAGGTTTATGATAAATGCAAGTATTCGTGTGATTTTAGGCTCACATTATCAACGAATTAACATTACTTTTTATATTTTAATTTTCTTTCATCATTTATCAAGAACTGACTTGATTTTGAGTTTGTCTTAACACTTTTTAAGCAATACTCCACATTGAAGAAAATTCTCTTAAAATTCTTGGTTCATTTTATTTAAGAGTGTAAAATTTGTCCATTCCAAACTCTGTTCTATCCAATTTAATGTAAGCCATGTCATGACCAAGCGTAATTTTTTAGTGCCAGCCAGTCGATGTGGGGCAGCCATTTTAAAAGGTGGGCCTTGACATGATTTTTTTGCCATGTAATAACTGACTTAATCCGTTTTACCTCTCGAGTTTCAGAAAGCCCCAAATTCTTCCCGAGGCCCTTAAAGTCAAAATTTCGACAGATAACATGGCCTATGTGGCATACAAACCAATCACCAATGTTCGTCCCAAGAAAACCCAAATTCTCCCTTCCCCAGTCCTCCATATACGAATATTCAGCTAATATTACAGCCCATATCGACTACAAAAGAATGTTGGTCCCATAATGCTGTATGTAGTAATGCTACTCAATGACTTACTGTGATACTAGAATTCTAATGGCATCAAGTAAATAAATGAACAGATTGTTCATCACTATATATCAGTAAATGCTGGGGAATTTCAGATTTTTCATTGCAAGTAATGCTAATTAGCATTAATCTAAATGTCACTACATGATAGATTTAATTAAAAATTAAAAGTAGAATTATATGACTCATTTAATCATTCCAAGAACTTGTCTTTCATTTCCAAGAAATCAAATTCATTTTGCCATTACAAATAGGTCCACTGCAGATTATGTCACAGTAGTTCAAATCCAACAAAAACGATGAGTTCATAGAATTCGTTAGTTTCTACTAATTTCAACATCTGTACTTTTTTATCTCCCTCTCTTTTTTGGACTCAATGGTACATGCAATGAAGAAATGAATAAATTTCTTAGAGATTAGGACAAATGATGAGAGATTGGAAAGTTTCGATCTCTTGTTTTGCATCGATCGTCGTGTCTTCTGCTCGACTGATATAGCGCAATACGAATCTACGATAGGAGAAGCCACGTGTAGCTTTTGCGTAATGCATTTGCTTACTCGGCTACTATATAAAGGGGAAGCTAGCATTGAGTTTTCTTCATTAGCTTTCTATACATATAATCAGCACAAGTGCTTTTAAGACAATTGATTGTACAAAAATATGTTTCAATTCTTGGTGTTCTCGTTAGTTATGATTGTGACTTTCATGTTGTTAGCTTATTAAGACACATTATTAGTCACAGTTAGTTCATTGTTAGTCACGGTTAGCTTAGTTCGTTTAGCCATCATCTAGATCCTTCGATTTTCTGTTTTTAGTTTGTTAATATTGCACCTGGAGATTCTTTTGTGTAATCTATTTATAGGTTCATTTTGTCATTGTAAAGTTCAATTAAGTTGGAATGAAACAAAGCTTTCTGCCTCTTTCTCTGAACTTAATATGATATCAGAGCAGATAAAGCTGCGTCTGTCTTCTCCTTCATCCTTAACCTTCCTTCCTGCAATCAAGTTCACATGCTTTTGATTTCTACTGGTATATTCTGAAGTCCTTCCGAAATGGAACTAGTACCTTCGTTGAATGTATCAGATACAAGGTCTTCTTCTAGCAGATCAATGTTTAATGATCCTTCGAGTCCTTTTTTCTACATTATTTAGATAGTCCAGGACTAATACTGGTCTCTCAGCAATTAACATGAGATAACTACAAATCCTGGAGTCGAGCCTTGCTGATAGCTTTGTCTGTAAAGAATAAAATTGGTTTTGTTGATGGAACCATAGGAAAACGCAGAAGGAGATGATCCTGATCTCCTGATCACAATGGAGTTATGGCCTTTTCTTTCAGATCTAAAAATGGAAAAGGAAGTGATGGATATAATACTATCTCGAAAATCAGATCTGCTGCAAATTATAAAAAGAAAGAAAGACCATTCTGCACTTACTGCAATTATCATGGTCATTCAAATGATAAATGCTATAAGTTAAATGGTTATCCACCTGTTATTGAAATCAAGTAACATATTGAAGCTAAACAGCCTGAGTTTGGGAGTTTTGTCCAGAATCTTAATTCAACTCAGTACCAGCAACTGATGTCTATGTTTTCAACTCACCTAACTTCAGATGTCAATCTTTCTGATCATCATAGGAACAACTCAAATTCATATGCTACATGTATATGTTATTCAATATCTATGCACCCTATATTATCTTCAAACACTATTTGGATAGTGGATTCAGGTACAACCAGGCACATTTGCGCTTATGCAGCTGTATTTACATCTCCGAGAATTATCGAAAATTTGTCTATGACGTTGCCAAATCACAAACAAATTCCAGTTAAAATATCTGGTGAAGTTCGGTTGAGCTCAAATCTGGTGCTTCATGATGTTCTATTTGTATCGCAATTCAAATTTAATTTAATATCTGTTAGTGCTCTCACGTTTGACTCACAACTCAGCATCAATTTCTTTCTTGATGGTTTCACTATCCAAGAAATCAACAACAAGAGGATGATTGGCAGGGGTGATCAAGTGCAAAATCTTTATGTTCTAGATATAAAGTTGTTAAAATCTGATTCAAATGTTTCTATAAACAGTGTTTCAGTTCAAGTTTGGCATAATTTGCTGGCCATCCTTCTTTTAAGAGGTTGGATAGTTTGAAATCGTATTTGCTTTGTGATAATATGAATTTAAATAAAGGAAGTCCATGTTATGTGTGTCCTCTTGCCAAACAAAGAAGATTATCTTTTGATTGTAATAATCATCTTGCAAACAATCCTTTTGACTTGGTGCATTATGATATTTGGTATGATTGTTCTAGATTCGCTTGGATTTATTTACTAAAGCATAAATCAGATGCAACTCTGGTCATTCCAAGGTTTCTTAACATGACAGAAACTCAATTCCAAACAAAAGTAAAGGCTTTTAGAACTGATAATGCACCGAGTTAGCATGCAATGATATGTTTGCTGATAAAGGTATCCTACATCAATTCAACAGTCTGGAAAGGCCTCAACAAAATTTAGTTGTAAAATGTAAACATCAACATCTTCTAAATGTAGCAAGGGCACTATATTTCCAGTCTAGAATACCTATCAAGTTCTGGACATATTGTGTTTTGACAGCTGGTTGTTTGATCAACAGAACACCATCCTCTTTATTGAAAAATAAGTCTCCATATGAAGTCCTATATAACAATCCAGCAGATTATTTCACTCTCCGAGTGTTTGGATGTCTGGCTTTTGCATCAACTCTACCTGCTCATCGAACAAAGTTTCAACCTCGTGCTTTAATTTGTGTATTCTTGGGGTATCCAGCTAGAGTGAAAGGGTACAAGTTATATGATATCAAGACAAAACAAATCTTCCTTTCCAGAGATGTTATCTTTCATGAGGACATTTTTCCCTTCTATAAAGTTGTAGAGACAGATCAAATGATTGATCCATTCCCAGATTTGGTATTGCCATCACTACCTATAGATCAAGCTATTAGCATGGATTGGTATAAAGATGTGTATGCCTCAGCACCTCTCTCAACCAATTCTAATCAGGCAGATACTTTGCCTTCTGGAATACAAATGGTGGAATTAAGGAAACCTTCTCCTATGGTCAACAGTCATCCCAACATCATGGATTCTGATGATACTCTTCGAAGGTCACAAAGGGTCATCAAACCCCCTGTATATTTGCAAGATTTTCATTGCAACATGACATCACAGAAGTCCCCTCATCCCATTGAAAACTTTGTCTTTTATGCAGCCTTATCTCCATCCCATAGAGATTTTATGCTAAATGTTTCAGCTGATTATGAGCCAGATTTCTTCCACCAAGCTGTCAAAATCCTTCAGTGGAAAGAAGCTATGAAGCTGGAATTAAAAGATATGGAAAACAATAACACATAATCTATTGTTCCATTGCCACAGGAAAAGCATTCCATTGGTTGCCGGTGAGTTTATAAGACCAAGTATAAGTCAGATGGTACTGTTGAAAGGCATAAAGGACGCTTTATAGCAAAAGATTATACTCAACAAGAAGGACTAGACTATTTCGACACGATTTCTCCTGTGGCAAAAATAGTGACTGTTAAGGTACTCTTGGCACTTGCTTCTTATCAAATTTGGCACCTCATACAACTTGATGTCAATTATGCATTTCTAAATGGGGACTTGTTTGAAGAAGTTTACATGGAACTTCCTCTTGGTTATGAGAAAACCAACCTGTCCAGCAACAATGGAGTAAAAATGGTATGCAAATTGCATAAATCCATTTATGGCATCAAGCAAGCCTCACGGCAATGAAACTCAAAATTTACCCAAGCTCTCATTCATTTTAGTTTTATACAACCTAAGGCTGATTATTCATTATTCATTATTCACCAGAGGGTCTGGTGATCAGTTTGTAGCATTACTTGTCTATGTGGATGACATTGTCACCACAGGTCTAAATATTCAGGCTATTAGTTCCTTAAAGAAGTTTTTGCACTCTCAGTTCAAGTTAAAAGAATTGGGAATTCTGAAATATTTTCTTGGACTTGAAATTGCTCGATCAAAAGCAGGTATTGTGCTGTCTCAGAGATAATATACACTGCAGCTCCTTGAAGACACAAGATATATGAACTACAAACCAGTTGCTGCACCTATGGATTCCAAGTTAACCTTAAGTCTTACTGTAGGGGATTTGCTATCTGATGCTTCTATATATAGAATGCTAATTGGTTAACTTATCTAATTGACAATATCTCGTCCTGATATAACTTTTGCAGTCTACAAGCTGAACCAATTTCTCTCCCAGCCTCGGTCACCACATTTGAGAGCTGCACACCACTCCAATGATTCCTATAAGACTCCAAGCATTTTCTGATGCTGGTTGGGGTTCTTGTGTTGACGCACTGAAGTCCACCACTGGTTTTTACATCTTTATAGGAAATTCTTTAGTTTCCTGGAAAGCCAAGAGGCAGGCCACTGTCTTCCGTTCTTCAGCAGAAGTAGAGTACCGTGCTCTTGCCACATCTACTAGTGAAGTTCTTTATATTCAACAATTATTGCGGATTTTCAATTTCATGTTTCACAGCCAGGCTTTTTTTTTTTTTGTGACAATTGTGCTGCAGTTCAATTGGACTCCAATCCTGTATTACATGAGAAAACTAAGCATATCGAAATTGATTGCCATTTCATTCGTGACAAAGTTGCCTATGGAAATGTGAAGCTTCTCCCAATTCGTTCTCAATATCAACTTGCTGATATGTTTACTAAGCCACTTTCCTCTTCAATTTTAGCTCCATTATTAGCCAAGATGCACGTTAGATCGTCCATCTTGAGGGGGCGTGTTAGCTTATTAAGTCACATTACTAATCACGGTTAGTTCATTGTTAGTCACAGTTAGCTTAGTTAGTTTAATCATCATCTAGATCCTTCCATTTTCAGTTTTTTAATATTGCAATTGGAGATTCTTTTGTATAATCTATTTATAGGTTCATTTTGTCATTGTAAAGTTCAATTAAGTTGGAATGAAACAAAGCTTCTCGCCTCTTTCTCTGAACTCAATACATGCCTAAGGGTGATGCAACATGTGCTTTCCAGGCCATCTTCAATTTCGGGGACTTGAATTCCGATACTGGTGCCTTCTATTCAGCTTTTCCTTCTCAGTCGCCATCCCCTAATGGCATAACTTATTTCTAAACTCCGACTGGCCAAGCTACAGATGGGAGGCTCTACATCGATTTTCTCGATAAGTTTCAACTATTTCATAATTTTAATGTCAATACCTTTGCTCTTCTGATTGATTAAGGATACTAATGACATATAATTTAAACTTTCTTTGCAGCGCAAGCTTTGGGACTACCATTTATAAGCTCTTATTTACAATCAATTGGATCTGATTATAGGCATGGTGCAAAGTTTGCTACATTGGCCTCCACAGTGTTCCAGCCAACTACTTCCTTATTTGACATAGGAGTTAGACCTTTCTATTTAGGTGTTCAGCTCAACCAAATGAAGCTTTCAAAGCCAAAGTCGATGAATATAGAGGTAGTAATCTGTTTCTAAACATTTTGGCCCATTTAGTACACAGGAATGGACATCATTAAACAGTTGTTATTAGGATGTCCAGTCTTATCAAATACTATATATCAAACATAAACTTTGAGTCATGGTACTGACGAGGTGTCAACATCACGTCACTTAGCTTGATGGTTGAATTTGATTATTAGGGCAAGATAGTTTTCCTTCGTCCGATATATTTGGCAATGAGCTTTACACGATCAACATTGGCCAGAATGACATCACCGGCTACCTAGGTTCAACCGGTCCAGACAAGGTGAAGCAGAATGCACCTCAAGTCATTTCCCAAATTACAAGCACCATCAAGGTATGAACACTATGACATTCACGCAGTCTTATTAACTCAACATGGTGTTACAGTTTTTTTTTAAAGCAACCACTTATCACTTCTTAATCTAACAGAAACTATACTGGTTAGGCGAACGAATATTTCTAGTGATTAATCTTGCTCTAGTAGGCTGTTACTCGAGGTTCTTGGATGAGCAGTCGAACAGTTTAGACCTAGATGAATCTGGAGGCAAGATTTCTTACAAAAATGCAGTAAATGAATACAATTATACAACAATATGTTGAAAGATGCCCTTCAACAAACCAGACAAGACCTTTCGTGTGCTAATATGATATACGTGAACACTAACGCAGTATTGCTTGATCTTTACCAGAATCCAAAATCCCATGGTAAGCTCATTAAGCCAAAATTTCCGGATCAACCATTACGCTATATTAATAATTATAAAAGAAATATAACGGGGACTTTCTTTTCTTGGAGTTGCTTTCTAGAGAGGTATTTTAGTTTCGAAGTTATATTCTCAGTCAAGAAAATATCAGCAATACGATTCCCTTTATACTATGTTATGATTTTCTAATATTTTGCAGGGATGCAGCATGGAATCACAGCTCGCTGTGGACAAGGAGGTGGTGCCTATAATTTCAACCCTCAAGTTTTCTGCAGTTCAAGCAAGGAGATCAATGGAAAGACAGTTACAGCCACTGCCTACAGTGATCCTCAACCAATTGGTTGAAGAAATTGTACATAGACTCTCGACTGTAATACATGATCTGTGATGATCATTGCTTGATCCATGAAATGAATAAAAGTCGAGCTATTTGCGTATTTGCAAAATGATAGGACCCTGACTACTGATCCCAATTCCTCCTGTGCTAGATGTTAACAGAATATGCTAACCTGATGCCGAAGAGATAACAGATTAGGCTGCAATTAAATAGAACCAACAATGAGAGATGATGAAGAATTAGAATTATAACAGATGCACGTTGAAAGAACTAGTGAATTGATATTGAATGACTCAGCAAAATGAATGACAAAATCCAGGCTATTTGAGAGGCCTGGTCTCTCCCCCTGCTTCTAACAGAATTCCCCTCTCAAAATGAATGCCTCAAACCTGCCCTTTCCTTCCATCTTTATTCACCCTCCCTTCCACAACATTATTACATTTTTACCCCTAACTAACTAACTTCTGATGACTTGGCAGCCCCTTTGTTCCTTCTCGCGTATGTGAAATGGATAGGAGGTCTATCATTACTCGCCCCCCCGAAATCCACCTTGTCCTCAAGGTGGAAGATTGGAAATTGGAGTCTGACAATCTCAAAAGGCTCCCAGGTTGCCTCACTCTCTGGCAGATGCTTCCATTGAATCAAGACTTCAGGACCCCCAGCGCTTGTGTGAGGATTAGGACGAATTCCCAAAACAGATTCCGGTTCCAGAATAATCTCCCCATCCACTGACAGCTGAGGTGGAAAAGAAGAAACTGGTTGCAGGTTGCCAATAGCCTTTCGAAGCTGAGAAACGTGAAAGACCGGATAGATTGCCGTTGTAGATGGTAGCTTTAATCTATATGCGACCTGCCCCACCTTCGATTCTACCTCAAACGGCCCATAAAATCTAGGGGACAGCTTCTCAAAAGGTCGTTTAGCCACTGACTTCTGGCGATATGGACGAAGCTTGAGGTAAACCAAATCGCCCGCCTCAAACTGAATGTCACGGCGGTGCCCATCTGCGATCTCTTTCATCCGCAATTGAGCTCTGGAGAGCTGCACTTTCAGTTGCTTCAAAGCGTCATCCCGGTCTACTTAGAGCTGCTCCACAGAAGAATTGACAATCACACCTTTCTCGAAGGCAAGGATTGGAGGTGGTTCTCGGCCATACACAACATGAAAAGGAGTGAGCTTGGTGGCTGTATGGAAGGAGGTGTTATACCAAAATTCGGCCCAAGGTAAATATTAACTCCACACCCATGGCCTACTGGAAGCGAAACATCTCAAGTATGTTTCCAGACAATGGTTCACAACCTCTGTTTGCCCATCAGTTTGCGGATGATAGGCGGTACTATGCTGGAGAGCAGTCCCCTGAGCTTTAAACAATGCAGTCCAAAAAGAACTCATGAAGATCCTGTCCCTGTCAGAGACGATGGAATGAGGCATGCCATGCAGGCGCACTACCTCACGAATGAATACCTCAGCCACAATGGGAGCAGTAAAAGGGTGTTTCAGCCCGACAAAGTGCCCATATTTACTGAGACGATCCACCCCACCAAAATCGTATCAACCCCACCTGACCGCGGTAGTCCTTCTATGAAATCCATTGAAATATCTTCCCAAATTAGCTCAGGTATCGGCAAGGGTTGTAGTAGGCCTCCTGGGGACAACGCGACATATTTATTCCGTTGACAGACAGAACACTCCGCCACATACTCCTTCACTTTCTATTTCATCCCGTGCCAAAAAACCTCCCTGGCGATCCTTTTGTAAGTCTTAAGAAACCCTGAATGACCCCCCTACCTTGGCATCATGGCACTCCTGCAACATGAGAGTCACGAAAGGTGAACTACTGGGCAAAACTATTTTACCGTGGTAACGTAAGACACCATCCACCAAGGCATATCCCGCCCTCACCTCGAGTCCCTCCTGTAAATCCTTCACCATCTTTCCCAGTACCTCATCCGCAGCTACCTTCCTCGTAATCTCCTCCAATTGAAGGAGTTTAGGGGTAGTAATGGCTAGGCAATTAAATGTTGGCTGAATTCTGGAAAGAGCGTCGGCAGCCTTATTTTCCAACCCCGGGCAATATTGAATGTCAAAATGGTATCCCATTAGTTTAGTAAGCCACTTTTGGTGATCTTCGCTCACCAAACGCTGCTCTAATAGAAATTTCAGGCTTCGTTGATCAGTACGCACCAGAAAATGTCTGCCTAACAAATAATGACGCCATTTTTGGATAGCGAAAACTACAGCCATTAATTCCCTCTCATAAACTGATTTTTGCCAGGCACTATGTGGTAGGACTTTACTGAAAAAAGCTATCGGATGACTGTCTTGCGCTAATATTGCCCCTAAGCCCTGACCAGATGCATTAGTTTCCACCACAAACTGTTTAGAGAAGTTGGGTAACGCCAATACTGGAACACTGACCATTGCCGCCTTGAGTTCCCGAAAAGCTGCCTCGGTTTCCTCATCCTACCTGAACCCATCTTTCTTGAGCAACTCAGTCAGAGACCAAGCAACCTTGGCGTAGCCAGACACAAAACGCCGGTAATATCCCGTGAGCCCCAAGAACCCTCGAAGCTCCCTGAGATGGCGCGGGCTCGGCCACTTGATCATGGCTTCTACTTTGGACTGATCAGCGGAGACCCCGTTTTCAGAAATTATATGTCTGAGATACTCCACCTCCGCCTGTCCGAACAAACATTTCTTCTCATTGGCGTACAGCTTGTGTTCATGCAAAACCCTCAATACCGCATCCAAATGTTGTAGGTGGTCTTCCAACGAATGAGTGTGATTAAGATGTCATCGAAGAAGACAAAGACGAACTTCCGCAAATAGGGCTTGAACACCTCATTCATCAGATGTTGAAAGGTTGCTGGGGCGTTTGTGAGTCCAAACGGCATGACTAGAAACTCATAATGCCCCTCGTGAGTGCGAAAAGCTGTCTTGGGGATATCTTCTGGCCTAACTCTGATCTGATGGTAACCCGATTTCAAATCCAACTTCGAAAACACTCGAGCCCCATGTAGTTCATCAAGCAATTCATCGATTACCGGAATCGGAAAATGGTCAGGCACCGTGACCTTGTTGAGTGCGCGGTAATCGACACAAAATCTCCAACTACCATCCTTTTTCTTGACCAATAATACTGGACTCGAAAATGGGCTTTGACTCGGCTGAATGATTCCCACAGTGAGCATATCTCTGACCAGCCCTTCGATTTCATTCTTCTGAACGTAAGGGTATCGGTAAGGTCTTACATTCATTGGTGTTGCACCCGGCTGTAAAAGAATGACTTGATCTCGTGCTCGCGAAGGTGGAAGTTCATTTGGCCAATCAAAAATACTTCGATGATTTTGCAGTAGCTCAAGAATTGAACCGTGAATGTCGTTCATGGTTGTATCCTGTTCCACTCCCAAGCATCCCAACTCCAACAAAATCTCCTGTTCTCCTTCTTGAAACGACTTAACCATTGACTTCAATGACACCTGTGACTTATCCAGACTAGGGTCCCCTTGGAGCACAACACTTTCTCCAGCTACCATGAAACGCATGGACAACGTGCCCCAGTTCACCTGCATCTTACCCAATGTTTCCAAGCATTTCATCCCAAGGATTATGTCAGTACACCCCAACTTCAGAGGCAAGAAGTCGTCGACCACCTCAATTTCGGACAGTGAAACTACCACGCCCTTACAAATTCCCCCTCATTTGACTAAAATTTCATTGCCCATTATAACTCCGTAGCTGGCAGAGTTCGTGACTTGCAACCCCAGCTTCTGGACAAGCTCCTCAGAAATGAAATTGTGCGTTGCTCCACAATCTACAAGAACTATCACCGATTTTCCCAGAATCGCCCCACTCAATTTCATAGTTTTAGGAGCTGTAAGTCCAACCACTGACTTTATAGACAGCTCCACAGTTTCTTCGATTTCCTTTTCGTCCTCCTCCCCAAACGTCTCCACAGGTTTCACAGTCTCCTCTTCTTGCACTAAAAGCACCTGCAGCTCTCTATTTTTGCATCTATGTCCTGGCGCGAACCGTTCATCTCATCGAAAACACAGCCCCCTTTCCCTTTTTAGCTGGAGCTCGCCATCGGTCAGACGCTTGAAGGGCGGCACCGCCTTATCGCTCTTTACCGGCGGCGGAAAGGTGACGGCCTGAGATTTGGCCGTCGCTGGTGCAATCGCTTGACCCATTTGTGGCAGGTGGGTAGCTCCCTTGGAATACAAAGGAGTGTACCTTGGGTTAATTCCAACTGGGCCAGCTGAACTTATGGGCTTTGCTCGAAATGGGCCGATTGGGACCTGGGCCTGTTTTAGTGATTCATTTCGGTCTTCCACCCTTTGGGCCAATTCCATGATTTGGCCCAACCCTTGTGGCCTAATCATCCTTACTTCTGCCCGATTTCTGGTTTCAGCCCATTTATAAAATTTCCCTCCAAGACTACTTCTGGAACCTCCAGCAATGGTGCAGCCAACAGCTCAAACCACCGGCTATAATCTCTCACCAATCCTTCCTGTCTCAGAGCAAGTAATTTCTCCAGCATATTGCCCTCTTGCGATGGTCGGAATCTCTGTAACAACATAACTTTTAGATCCTCCCACCGCGAAAATGGTTGCCGTCCAATTTCCCATTGATACCAAGCAAGAGCCTCACCCTCAAAACAAACTGCTGCAGCCTCGATCTTATCCCAGTTGGAAAATTGATTGATGGTGAAATATCTTTCCGCCCGAAAAATCCACACATCAGGCGCATCGCCACTGAAGATCGGCATTTCCAATCGCTGATCTCGATGGTCCCCTCTCCCAGATTCCTCACGATGGGCCCGTTCTCCGGAACCTCCCCCCAGCTCCTGATTTTTTTCTGGAACACCAGAGCTCACAGGCGGTGCAGGTGTGGTCCCCTTTTCCTTCCTGTCTCTCTCTTGCTCACTCAACTTCGTTGCCAGCAGATCGAATTTCTCCATTAACCCCGCTAAGTTTCTCTGAATCTCCGATTTCATTACCCCCAGCTCATC